CCCCTGCTGCTGCTGCTGCTGCTGCTGCTGCTGCTGCTGCTGCTGGCGGTGCAACATTTGAAAGTGTGGCTATTCTTCGAGGCCAAGAGAAAACTACTGCAGAACCGAGGCGATCGATCGGAAGCTGGCATGGTACCGGGGGCTCCGCAAAATATTTGCTGCCGGAGAGCAGCCCAGCAAGTGCTGGGCACCGACAGCAGCAGCTTCGGTTGATTGACGGTGGCCGAAGTATCGGAGGTTCGCGGATTCGGTGATGGTATCGACAACGTTGGGTTTTCTTCATTTCTAATGCGTGGTCCGCCCTGTGCGGGTGGGAATTTCGTTCCAAACCATGCGTGCGTAGGCTATAATGTTCACTGCCATGTGTTGCAATGGGTAAAAACATCACGATTTGTTCATGCCTTCATCATGCGGTGTCCTGCCTCTCTTCGTCACGCGGCGTAGCACCTCTACCGAGACCCCAACAACGCGGCGGAACCGCCACCCGGGAGACAGGCACGCAACGAGCAAGCAGGGCAAAACCAGCGGCGAGACCACCGCCCCCGGTCGAGAGTACGGCAAGTTGCATAGGATACTATACCCCCTTCCTGGACCGATTTTCAAAGCTTAATTACTCGCCAACGAAGAGACATGTCCTACGTCTTCGTGAAGCCTCTCCACGAGAGGGAGCGTTGGCCAACGGTTTCATTTTCGCACAGTGACGGTTTGACCTGCAGAGTTTTCGAGCTCTCAAAAGTGGTCGAAGGGGTGGGTGGTATTCTGTGCAACCTACGTTGGTAGTGACTCATGCCCAAAGAGCTCGACTCACAGCCTCTGCCGCATGTGCTTGTGGTTGTCGGCCTTGCCGCCGGTCGCCCAGCCGCCATCCGCCACCCCGTTCGTCCAATCGCTGCCGCCGGTACCTTCGAAACCCCCGTCCGCGTGGCCCCGGCCTCCATCCGGCTGATTTTTTTTAAATGTTCTCAAACGCGGGTGTGGGAGGCATCGCTTTGTGTTTGTGTGTGTGTTCTTAGTTAGCATCGACACCCACCTGGTCTTGCAGTTAAAACTATAGTGTCTTTTTACAGTTGCAAAATCTCTAGAATCCACAAAAGCATTTACGGTATATATTTACACGCGACGCCACAAGCAGAGGCACCATTCCAAGACATGGGATAAAAAGCGCGTGGTCTGCCATGGAAAACCACTATCGACAGGATGCCCGTGGTCCCACACATGTTCGTGCCGCATGGGCCCCCGTGCATGTCTTGGCACAACTACGCCGCACTGCTGGGTGTACCTCTCACCGGCACGCCCCCTATATGTCCGCCCTTCCCGCAACACCCCCACAAACAACACACATAACCTCGCTGTGTCGCAGACAAACAACCACGCATAAGGCCCACCCCCTCACCTCTGATCGAGACATATTATCACTGCCACCGCCGCCCATGGTGTTGGAGCCGTCCGCCATGGACCGGAGGTCTACTGGCTCCCTCATGACTACCCTAGCCGTCGTGTGGTTCGCCACCACGATGCGTTCCACCTGGAAAATGTCGGCGAGCGATTCGCAGAAGGGTTGATGGAGAGGCTTGCTTGCGGGCCAGGCAAAGAAGGACAGAAATGAAATCGACAGCCTTCTCAGGAATGTTGGCAACATCGCTTAAAACCAGACTCCTTGGGATTCCCCATGAGAAGCACGTTTACTTCTCGTCTTCCTTGTGATGACACTCTCGTGTCGAAATCCTGCGTTTTCATTGGCGAACCCGTGTGCTGCACGGCAAGAACACACGCACCACAAACTCTGCGCTCGATGCTCGCTACCAAGCACACAAAACGGAAACAAGACGCCGTATCGCACCACAAACCGCTCCGTTCCAGCTCGTTCCCGAACACGTACCGCTCTGTTCGGATACATAGGGACCATTAGGACAACCACATCAGTAATGAAGGTGACAGAACATATCACACCCCCCTAAATCGACTTCTATAGCTCCATCACTCCAATATTGTACGAAAATGAGGTATGAATCGACCGGACATCTTCGGAAAGGTCTCGAGAAGACGATTTCGACGCCGTTAGTTTCGGCACCGCCGCTCTTCGTGGTGTAAAGGAATGGACCTTTGAACATCAGACCGGGGTGGTATATTATGTCACCTAGATACGGTATCCGAATGGTTTTTTCATATTTAGGAACTGAGACATACCAACAAGACAGAAACACCGTACCGCACCACAAAACGCTCCGTTCCAGCTCGTCCCCAAACACATACCGCTCTGTTCGGATGTATAGGCACCAGTGGACAATCAATCACATTGGTATCCGATTGGTCCGTATATTTCCCACCTGAGTCGTTAACGAACAAAACAGAAAACAAAACACCGTATCGTACCTTTCCGCTCTCGAGCAAGAGCGTGGTGAAGTCTTGCCAGGTGATCTCCACGGGACGCTTGCCAGAACTGCCCGAGCTGTCCGTCAAAAGCGAAAACAACAACGCCATGATGGCTGCCGCCACAAGCTGCAAGAAAAAAAAAAAATGCGCCACCAAGGAAGTTTCGAGACGGTTGGTCAGAGGGTGAGTAAGGAAAAAAACATAGGCCATGCCAACGGGCTCAAGATTGATTCTCGCCCAGAGGTGCATCAAACAACAGTACATGCGTACTGTACTCCGGTATGGGTTCGACCATCTTCATGCTCAGCAAAAGAGTGTCCTTCGACTGGCGTACAGCACTAAATAGTCGAGGTCATCCAAGAGGGCCACAAGCTTTCTTATGGTGTATGTGCGTTCCTGAGACAGAGGCCCGCTGCGAGCCGGCGCCAAGCTTCTACTGCTTTCGAAGCGCGGGCGAAACCGGGCTCATTCTGCGCCGGCGGGGGTGGGGGGGGAGATGCCGTGGGGGGGGGGGGGGGGGGGGGGGC